TTTTTTTTTTTTGTCATTTACTTCTGTAAATTCTGTAAACAGTAAATCGCTGTTTCTGTTTTACAAGTTAGAGGAAAATAGTATCGAGCCGTTAAGACACCTTTTAATAACTCAGTGTTGTATTCTGATTTTTTTCTGTGACTATTTTAAATATTTTAAAATTTAGAAACACCCTAGCATTTCTTATAGGTCGGGATTACAAGAAAAGATGATGTTTTTGCATGGGTAGCTGTTAAGTCTTGTCAGGGAACCGCCCCAGCAGTGCGAGCAGAGAACTCCTCTGATGCTGTACTGGGTGGTGGGCTTTCTGCTCAGCTTCTGGCCGCCGCAGCTCCACAAGATTAGCAAACGTAATCGTAATCTGCCTCTCTTGGATGCTAAATGTGCTGACAGTGGTGTCATACGGTGGTGTCATAAAAGTAACTAAGAATTGTCACCAAAGACAGAATAATGTAATTTTATTTTTCCCCTGAATGTGTATGCTTGTCACTTGAAATATGTGTATGTATTCTGGCTCACTGCTGCCTTTTGTAGCAATAGGAATCTTGAGGTTACCTGTGAAAATCCCAGAAATTTCAAACCAAACATATAAAGGCTATTGGGCTTGTAGTTTATTTTAATACTCAAAATCAACCTGTAAGGAATTCAGAGGTTTGTCTGGAGGGAATTGCCGCATCTCAAAGGGTAATTTTCCCCTTTTCATAAAATTTCTGACTCCTTGTGAAATTTTATGCATGTCTATGTTGGTGGGTGCAGACAAACTCAATCCTTTGCCCAGCGTGCTCTGAGATGATGGCCAGTTATCCATCTGCATTGGTCCTTATATTGGTGGTGTATGACCTGTAGGTTTATAAACATTGAAGTAAAGCTTGATTTCCCCAAAGGACCTGACATCCCGAGCACAGGGCCACTTTAGCATGGGTGTATGATGTCTGGACTAGACCTGGCTTGTGTCTGGCCTGTTAAGAACAGGAGCAGAGTATGACCTTGAACCTCTGCTAACTGTTCTCTGTGGACAGATGTTAATGTCATGTCTAATGTTCACCTGTGTGAACCTCATGAACTTAAACAGGGCCAAGTGCAAGGTCTCCTGCACCTGGGTCAGGGCAGTCGCCAGTACCAGTACAGACTGGGGGATGAATGGGTTGTGAGCAGCTCTGAGGAGAAGGGATTGAAAGTACTGGAAGATGAAAAGTTGGACATGAGCCGGCAGTGTGCACTTGCAGCCCAGAAAGCCAACTGTGTCCTGGGCTAGGTCAAAAGAAGCATTAGCAGCAGGGCGAGGGAGGGGATTGTCCCCCTCTGCTCCGCTCTGGTGAGACCCCCCCTGCAGCGGTGCACCCAGCTCTGGGGTGCTCAGCACAGGACAGACACGGAGCTGCTGGAGCGGGGCCAGAGGAGCCACGGAGATGGTCCGAGGCTGGAGCAGCTCCCGTGCGAGGACAGGCTGAGAGAGTTGGGGGTGTGCAGCCTGGAGAAGAAAAGGCTCCGGGGAGACCTTCTTGTGGCCTTTCAGTACTTAGTGGGGGTTTATAAGAAGGATGGAGAGAGACTTCTCATCAGGGCCCATCCTGACAGGACAATTGGTAATGGTTTTAAGCTGTAAGAGGGTAGGTTTAGTTTGGGGATAAGGAAGAAAAGTTTTATGATGAAGGTGGTGAGACACTGGAACAGGTTGCCCAGAGAAGCTGTGGATGCCCCATCGCTGCACATTTTCAAGGTTGGATTGGACTGGGCTTTGATCAGCCTAGTCTAGTGGAAGGTGACCCTGCACAGCAGGGGACTGGAAGTAGATGATCTTTAAAGGTCCCTTCCAATCTGAACCATTCTGTGATTCAACTCTTACGGTTTTGGTGAAGTGCTTGTGTAGGTTGTTTCAAAAGTGTCCGTCGGATAGATCTAATCTGACTATTGAGATCAGATATCTGAACTTGGTCATGTTCTATTCCAATCATCGAAGTGGTTAACTTTTTCAGAAATTCTTGTCTTTTAGACCTTGAAAAAAATAGAATGTGCAGTGCCATAATAATTTGTGGAGGTAGTGCTACTTGGTTTTGTTTTTCTTTGAAGGCTTTTTTGAAGAAGTATCTGTCAAAGCTACAGAGTGTAAGTACATGAGCTTGAAGCAAGAGTAAACACATGAATAATGAATTCCCAAGATTAACAAGCAAATTAATGTTGGTTTAGTGATTTTTACACAACTGAGTAATCCACTTATGTAAGTGATTTATTTATTTGCATATAGCACAATTTTGTATAGTTTGAGATGGTGAAAAGTATTTTATATTAGGGATTATCCATAATTTACATGACAAGATCACTGAATCTTGTTTTAGTAACTGCTAGTCTGCCTTTTTACATCTATGCAGTATTGACTGAAAAAATGGTTTTGCTGCCTATTAATGCCAAAAGGGGTAGTTAGCTATAGCTATCCTAATTAGAACAACTAGTCACCTCTAGCAAAGCAGACGATGTGGCTTGATGTACCCATTAGTGAGTTGATCAAGAGACACAGTTGGTAAGCATGACATACTTATTTTCTTCCCTCTCTCAAGGGGACTGAAGTAACTGAATAATAATAAGTAATATTTATGACTACAAGAAACACTTAACAGCAGAAAAAAGTGGCTCTGGAAAAGGTGTTACAGCTGTGTGGTTTTATGTGATAAAACCGTTGTTTCATACCAAATGTGTTTTTTTTTATTTAGGCATCTCAACTTTTTATTTGAATCTGAAGTGAATTTCTCTATAAGTTCAAAGTTTGAGCCAATATAAGGCTTATATTCAAATATGGACCAAATTCTTCCCCTGTTGGAGTAAAATGAAACAGATGAGATAAGAATGGAAGTGGTAGAATGGGTACAGTATTTTGGAACAGAACTGGAGATTTAAGAAAACTATTAAAAAACCCGTGAAATAAAGATGAAAACAACTCCAATTTTTATTTCAATGGTTTTTTGGGGTTTTGTTGTGAGGCAATAAAACTAGACCCACATGCCGCTACGGGAACGTGGAGGATTTTGAAGGAGTGTGAAGATAAAGGTGAATGGATCTTATTAAAAGATCAAATTGCTTCTTATTAGGCTGACTACTCTTCTTTTGGTTCTGATGTCTCCTAGTTCATATTGTTCTTTGTAATATCAAAGGCAAGATACAGAACTACTAACTTATTGGAAAGTGTTACCCACCTTTCTAACCTGTCTGATCAAAGGTGCTGAATCTGATGCCGTTTTTCTTTTTTTGGGGCAGCAAGACAGCCTTCTTAAAGCAAAATATTTATGTTAAGCACTGACAGAATATTTGAAGTGAAGAGACTTTAAGCCAGGAGTCTGTGGTGTCCATTTGACGTCCTGCATCGGTGTCCGGTTGGTGACTTGGGCGGATCTAACTGCTGTGCATATGTGTGCCTGCAGTTCTTAACTCGTGCTTTAGCTGCATAAAGGAAAACATCTCTTCCTCTGAAATGTGGAGGGAGTCTTTTAAACCTTTCAGAGTTGTTTTGTGCATTTAGGTTTTTTCGTTTGATTTGTTTTTTTAACCAGGTCTTGTGTTTTTCTCCGGCTGTTTTTCTTCTGAAACCAAGCCAGTAAGATCATGAAACACAAATCCCAAAGACCATCTCTGTATAAAAGATACTAATGTTTATCAGTGACTTCCTCCGTTTCCTACCCACAACTCTGAAAAGAGCATTGCTTGCAGGTTCTTTTCCTTGGAATATCAGCACTTACTGAGTATTTCCATTCAAATGTAGATAATGGATAGTGTGAGTTAAACTAATCTTGAGTCATTTCAACAGTACAAACTCCAAAGTGGTGACAACTGTTAAAACTTACTTTGAAAGCCCAGCTATGAGACTTTACAACTTAAAATCACTCTGTCTGTACATTAGTTTACATCTTTAGATATGAGGTACTGGAAGTAACTTTCTGGTAAGTTCTGAGTTATTTGAGAGTCCTCTGGTGAGACACTGGTACAAGCCTGTGCACACTGTGAATCCACAGACTACAACACTTAATATTTATTTTTTTTTAAAAACACCACTATGACTTTTTTCCTGTCTGTGTAGTGCGTATTAACAAGATGATGCTGTAGCTTTATTTTTTCCCCCATTTTTTAAGCGTACTTGTTACTATATATATGGTGTATATATTATATGTAATTAGCATGTATATAGTGTCTATATAGAATATACTTAAGCATACCTGATAGAAATGTTTGTTTTCCTTGCACAGGCTAGGCCTCTGTGACAGCTTCTGTTGGTATGGCTGTGTATGTGGATCATCGAACAGAAGCTCCTGATTCAGTTGCGTCCCCTTCTCACATAGCGTGGCACCCACTTCAACCACTCCTGGCCGTGGGTTCCATCAGCACAGCAGCTGGGGGCTGTGTGGATATCTACCTGGAACAGGTGAATAATCAGCAGCCTTGCTTTTGGGCTTGATACCATTTTGCTGGTTTGGAACTTCACCTTTTTAATATATCTATATATCTATATAAATCTATATATATATTTGCAGTCTTACGTATGCTTCTTGAATCTCTGGATTTTAATTGCTCTCCGTATCCTGTGCTATCTAGGGCATGTCAGATTCATCAGCTACTGATTACACGTCTTTATAAATTAAATTTAAATGGAAAGAGGAGTTTTAATTTTTACAGCCTTTCAGTCTTGTTTGTGATGGTTACTGATTTGCTTTTTACTTCTCATAGTATGAGAATTTCAGGCTTAAAAGTAAAACGAACACATGCTGCTGCTTTTTTTTAAAAAAAACCCTAAGTAAATAAAGTGTACTAAGAAATAAATATTAAAAATAATTCCTCCACCTTGAGGCTGAGTTGATTTGCTAGACTCAGCTTGTTCCATTTGAGTAGGTTGTTTCCTAGTACAGTTTCTGCCTGCAGACAGAGATTTCCTTTGCATACTTTACACACGAGGCTTGCGTAGGACTTTGGTTTGCATAATTTTCAGGAAGAAAGTGTGCTATTTAGGGAGATGGTAGTACAAGGTATCTAGCAACAAATGTACTGGAAACATTTAAGTCTGTTAATATGAGTAGCCTATAAACTGTATATTTTCCAAAGTGCATTATGAAAAATTGCCATCCAGATGTTACAAATGGAAAAATAAATACAGAGAGATTAAATGAATTGTCTGAAATGCTACTGCGAACCGTACACAACAGAGTGTCTACCTTTAAGAGCTGTTTAAGCATGAGTTTACTCTGTGTCCTCACTGAAGTGCTTCTTTTTGAAAAGTTGTTTGGATGGTTTTTTTAACCTTGAAATGTGCTCAAAGCTGCTTTATCCTTCATCAAGGAGTAAAAGCTTGATATTCAGTGAGAGCTGCTTGTGTATGCTGTGAGGGAAGAGTAGCCCAGAAAAGCGGGGGGCCAGTCACTTAACACTGGTGTGTTTTCATTAGCAATTTTTAAGGGGATGTGCTGTGTGTTTTAGCACATTTTTATGCACGTGAAATAGCTGTAAAGAGAATTTGTGTGGCCGCTTCATATCTCCTGCAGGAAGCTTTATTACATGCCAGTCCTTTGTCACAGAAAAATCTCTTGTTGACTGGGAAGCGAATCTGAAGGTGTAGCTGCATCCTTGTACTGTTTTTTCCATTGTACTGAGCTTGCACTTTATTTCCATTTGCAGGGAGAACATGTGTCCGATGCACATATTGAGAGAAGCTTTCAGGTCACATCACTTTCCTGGCACCCTTCCAGACCAATTCTTGCAGCAGGCTGGGAGACAGGAGAAGTTGTGATACTTAACAAACAAGACAAGGAGCGCCATGATGTACCGCCAAATCATAATGACAAAATTACAGTCCTAAACTGGAGTACAAATGGTACCCGCCTTGTCTCTGGTGATAGGGTGCGTAGTTGAAATGCCAGATGTGTTTTTGATGTGGAACACGATGTTGCAAGCCCTGTGATGGGAAGGGATTATGTAATGGGTTTTTAGGGGAAGGGATAGTTGTCGGGGAGATAAATTTCCTCGCTTTAGGTACAAATTAAAACTATTAGGGAGTAAAATCAAATCTCAGTGTTTTAACTTTTTTCTACAGTACTCATTGGTGTTTTATCAATTTATCTTTAAATAAAAGTGTATCTCAGTATCTGCTGGGTTTAAGGCTATTTGATGGAGGGGGTAATTGAGGCATAGACAATTTGAATTATTTGCTCCTGTCTATGCACGAATTTTGTGGCACACTCAGGAGTAACGCCCAGACGTTGAGAAACAAATTCGAGCTACAGCATATTCGTCCGTAGTGAGTGCATAGCAATGCTCACTTAAATACAAAAACCCCATGCTGATCTCTTGTTTTGTTTTTATTAATACTCTAAAAATGAGTCAATCTTATTGCATGGAAAATGTTGTGGAAATACTCGAAATGTCACAGTCTTTATTTCTTGATGAGCTGGTTGCCCTTTTATATAGTGAAATGAGAAACTAGCTATTGAATATGTAGTATTCAGGATTAAGTAGTCATACAAGATTCTGGTTTTGCCAGTTCTTGAGTCAGCAAATGGAAAAAAAAAAAGTAGGTTTTTCTATATTTTCCCTGATATAAACTTGAGCTTGTCCAAGAATTTCAGTTCTGCTCTTTGAGAATTTGTACCTATGGGAGTCAAAGGAAAATACAGTTGTAATCCATTGTTTGTAAAATTTTGTTGCTACATTTGACAGAAATGCAGAAATTCTAAATTGAGTAAAAAATGAATTTTTCCTCTTCCTTATTAGAACAGAGAAAATGCTGCCCCAACAAAAAGTGATGCACAGCGTAACTGAGGCTTTATTTATATGGAGACAATAATGTAGCCACAGCTTACATTAACCCTTCATTTATGAACAAACTTTTTTCACATTGGTTTATCTTGTCAGATCACAGTACTGAAGTCATCTTAAAACAGATACAGCTGTTCTTATAGGCAAATTTAACAATTTGATAGACTTATCCTAACTCTTCCTCTGATGAGGGTATTGATCAAAATAGAATAAGCAGTGGTTTCAAGGAAATAACATGACAAACCAAAGCCTGGCCATGTATTGACACAGATGCTCTTCAGTTTCATGTAGTTTCACTTGCTGTAGTTGTAAAGACCAACCTCAATGGATGGAACAGCAGCACATTGCAACTCTGGAAAGTTTGTTATTGCAAAATAGCTGTGTTACCCTCTGCAGACACTGGAACACACAGCTGAGCAGGGTTCAAGGTACTCCCTGGTGTCCCTGGCCAATGAAATGTTGGTCCTTAAAAACCTGCAGCTGTGTGTGTAGTGGCCAGCTTGAGCTAATGAGACTGGCTTAGAGCCCAGACTTGTTAGGCTGGGCACACGGCTGGTTCAGCCTCCTGTGGCTAGCCCCAAGACAGTGTCTCTGCCCAGTACTGCACTGGATCAGCCCGCTCACCTCTTGTGTTGCATGCTCAGTGTCATTGTACCATGGTCTGAGGTGTATGCTTCATTTTCTACGTCTTTCCCAATAACTTTAAAGTTTATTTTTAAAATGTTTCCCATGAAGGTTTATGTTCAGGTAACTTCTATTAGGTGAGTGCTGCCAGGATCATATTAGAGGAGTACCCTTAGAAAGAAGATAAATATTTGGGCCCTGGTTTGGTTTCTGTTTGTTCTTCACTGGGACTTCATAACAGAGAGCGCTCAGCTGAGAACATCCAGTTGTCATAAATCCTGAGCTGCAAGAAAATTATTTGAAAATAACTTAAAGTTAGAATAGGATGCTTGGAAAATCAGAAGCTCTTAATTTGTGTTTTAAGTGACAAATAACATGGCTGACTTCCAGGTTTCAATCACACAGAATAATCCTGTAATAAAAGCCTATTTATAGGGCATATAGCCTTTATAACAAGAAGCTAAAGCTTTGGGTTGTTAAGAATGATTGGGAAGATACAGGATACCTTAAGAGTAAATCTTATAGATGATAAGGTCGATGTCCTTTGTCCTTTTCAAATACCATTTGAAAACAGACCAGTTCTGTATCCTTTCTATAACCATTCACACTTAGAACAGGTAGTGAGCTTTTTTTATTTACAATCTCATGTATTACAGACTCAGAATTGAGTTTGCAACTAGGTTATCTGGATACAGGATGGGACATCTAGAACAGGATGGAAGGAAGGTTAGCAGCTTTATAAAGCTGTAGGCTTTTCCTGCAGCTTATGAACAGATATTTAAAGCTGAGGAGAAAGTGAGAGGACGAGCCAACAGGATATGAACTTTCAAATCACAGGATCCTGTGATTTCCAGAGGTAACCAGCAAACATTGTATGAACCGCAAGTGGCCTCTGGGAACAGTACGGCAGTTTCACAGGTGCATGGCTGTGTCACATTCTATAAGCTGTAAGAGATGGCACTGCACTTAATAAACAGTTTTGGGTGGTATAAATATAATCATCTTACTGCTGAAAGAAGTTAGAACTTCTTGATTCTTAGGAAAAAAAGAAGGAAATATTACCTTGGAAGGCCTTAGCTGCATCTCATGTGGCTTCTACTTAGGATTGTGAAGAAGAAGTGTTTAAAACTACCACTGCTATGGATCTTTCGCTCTAGAAAGACTGTACTCTACTGAAAACAGTAAAGAAAAATAGAGCAAGTTATAATACCACTTTTATTGTTATCAATCTTAATGAAATAAGATGAGATTGAACTTCATGTTGCAAATTTTTGCTGTGTTTTTTCATGTAGTGCTTAGAGAGAGGGCCTCCAAATGCAATTTGGTTCCCTCAGCACTAACATAATAACAGCCATGAATAATAATCTTGAAAATCCAGGTGTGAGACTGTAGCCTGAGTCAGTTTGTTGGGATGGTTAATGTGTATGTCATACTGGACTGTCTTTTTGCTTCTTTGCCTTCTCCATTCTTTCCAGTGCCCAGGGGTCTGATGCCCATCCTGAGCTGGCACTGCAAAGTGTGTGTTACCTTCAGAGCCTCTGCCAGGCTCTGAGGGCAACTTATACCAGCTACTGTTGAGTTAGTTGGCTAACAGGTCTTCGTTTCTTTAGCATCTGTGATTCTTCTAGTTACTAAGTTCTGTTTCTAAAAATGAGTTCTTGTTGTGCTTGAATGTCTACTGTGACTTCATGTGTGTCTAATCATATACCCATGCTCATCTTTGTCAGTGTTATATGCCCTTACTCGGGGATGTGTGTCTTATGCTTTGCTATCCTTTGTCTCAATGTCTTTTAGCAGTCAGAGTACTTTCAAGAAAAAAGTGGAATGGGAGTTACTTAAATATTTGCATATGCCACTTGCAGAGGAAAACCAAGGCTGTTCCATTTAGTTGCTCTGGCAGTGTCATTTTACTAAGAATGGATATGACCAACAAGCTTTTTTAGCTAACTTGAGTTTAAATAAGCAAATAATATAATGTTAAAGCTAATTTTTATTCCTGGTGGCTTGGTTTTAAATGGAAGTAATTGTATGTGTCAAGTGAAAGAAAGGCAAGGTGTTGCTCTGTCAAGAAAATGTTTAATTTTATGTGCACTGAGTAGCTGGAGTCAAGATTCTCATCTGTGTGCAAAGTGTAATGAATTAACTGTTGTCTCTTTCTAGCACGGTGTCTTGGTTCTATGGAGAATGGACCAGCGAGGCAGAGTGCAGGGTCCTGCCCTACTGAAACTGGAGTACGGAAAATGTCTGTCTCACTGCATCTTTCGACCACCCCCTCCTGGCGAGTAAGTATTGTGCCCTGTCTGAGCACTGGGAGACCAGGTCTTTCTCTTGTTCCAATAAAAGAAAATCCTACTCACAGATAAACCTTTTTTAAAAATATATATTGAAAAAGTTCTTCTCCTAACCGTCCTTTATGTCCAAGTTCTTCTCCCATTTTAGTAGCTGTCTTTTTGTGTCCTTTATGCAGCAACAGATCATCTTCCTTTTGTCTATACCTTTCTCTCTGTTGCTGCTGACTCTTCTTCCTTTAGTTCTTTAATTAGCAGTGTTGCTGACTGTGAAAAGCAGAAAGCACACTGAAAACACAATTATCTGTTGAATTATTGGCAAGAATAATTAAATTAAAAGTCAGTTCTTAATCATTATTATTTCTTTCCTCTCCAAGCAAGAAATAGGAAACAGCTGTAGAGAAAAAAAAATATTTTTTTCCTTTTCTGGGCCACTTCTCTTTCACGTTTCTGTAAAAATAATAATGCTTATGGAAAAAAAGGTGAAACAATGCAAATGAAAGGTAGTATTAAAATTTTACTTTGCATTTTTTTGAGTTTATAATTTCTCCAATCAGTGTATGAAACATCTTTATTCTCTCTTTGCAACATATTTTATTAACTACTAATCCATTATTTGATACGGAAAGTACTCTGTTATGTAAGGAATTAGAAATTAAGTCTCTCTGTTTGCAGGGACTTTGTACAGCTGGCAAAAGCGGCTGTGAGTGGTGATGAGAAGGCCTTGGATATGTTTAACTGGAGAAAAGCTGGAACAGGAGCACCTCTGAAAATGGGATTCCAGGAAGGGCTCTCCTTCTTTATCACTTTGACAGATGGTAAGAGCAAAACCACTTGCCCAGGCTGCTGGAAATTTGTCTCCTTAATGCTTCAAAATAGCTCAGTGTACGATAGTCCTGTTTTCATACATACAACGTCTCGAGTATAGCCATGTATCTATAATATTCATATATCCAACAGGATAAAGTACTCTTTGTTGAAGAATCTTTGGTAAGAAGAAATGAATAAGATTATTAAAATCTTAGCATCTTCAGGATGAGTCATCTCCAAAAGGATGCCATAGGTATTGGATTAGTCAGGTTCCTGAAGAAGTGAGTGTAAGGAGAGTGATCTCTAGCACCTAAGTGTAAATAAGATTAGAAGTTGTCAGCATTTTGTGCAAAGCTTCAAAATAATACGTGTTGTGGTTTTTTTTCTAGAAATATGAAAATGCTGCTAGAACATAACTTTTAAAATAAGTTATTAATTTACTTTTTCTCTTGTGCTTTGAAATAAGGCTTCAGTCTAAGGAAACCAAAAAGTCTGAATATCTTTTTAACAAAACAAGTTTTCTTCCTAGTACTGTTTCTTCCCTGCCATTTGTCTTTTCCTCTCCCTTTTACTGTTCTGGGTACTAGTTTGCTCCCAGCTCACTTTCTTCCTACCCAAGTTGTTCTCATGATGCCTTCTGTCTCTCTAACCTGCTAACTTTTTGCACCGGAGCCAGAATCTGTGTGACAAGTATTGTAGTGAATGTTTCTGGTAGGTGATTCAAGTATATGTAATCCTCTCGATTCAAGTGTTAACTCCTCTGAAAACCATTGAAGTTTTGCTAGTTCTGCAGCTCAATTCCAGTTTGATTCAGTGTTTATCTTACCAAGAATGAGACCCATTGTTTACACCAGCACAGCTTGCAGGAGTGGCATTGTCCCGCTGTGTTTCTTTTGCAGAACAGTGGGCTGTACCTTCATTTGAATGGTGAGTTACAAACCTCTTTCCTAGACATGAACCATTTGAATGAAAAGGCGGCACAGGGCACTTCTTCACCGTGCAAGGAGAGACTCTTTGAGTAGCTGTGTCTGTTAAATCCTCCCTTTCAAAGCATCTGTTGTGGTGGTACACAGCCCCATCTAGGGACAGGCTCTGTATCCTGCAAGTGGGTGTCCTTCACATCTTGTTTCTTGGGCCTCTTGTTCAAACTTTACAAATTTCAGTCAAATAACGCTGACTGTTTCTTTTGAGCAGTCTCATTGCCTAGGTTGATTTGGGCATACGTATTTTGGACCCAGTGTTTAATCTAGTTAGTGATCTGTCATAACTTCAGAATCAGTTAATGTTTTTGTAGGGTTTAAATGTGACCTGTAAATTTCCTCTAAAGTATGAATTCTCAGCCTAAACTTGTTTAATAAAGATGATTTTAATAAAAAAAATCTTATTGCACGATTTTAAGTATCTTAGAAGAGATCTGACTAAATACAGTAGAGCATCTTTTAAAGCAAAACTAAATAAACAATTAAGGTCCTAAAAAAAGCCCAAAACAAAATGAAAAGATCTCCCAAGTTTCAAGTATATATTAGTCTAGATATTTTTTAATGCTTCCAAAACACTGATCGTTGCAGTAAAACACTAGGTGCTGTTCCGGTAATATGTTACATGAGATGCTTATCTGAAGAGAGGATACCTGAACTGATAACAATTTTTGGAGATTGTTTTGCAAGACATGTCATGAGCACAAATAATCATCTTCACTACTGAATATTTGAGATGACTGACACAGGTATTGGGACATACCCTGAATTGTGGAAGTCATCCTGACATTTTTGCTGAATCTACTCTTTTTTGTCTTCATTGCAGACATTTTTAGGTCATGAGTGATCATCCTCTTCTAGTACCCTTTGTATTTCCGAAACAGCATATACTTTCTGCTTCTTATCTTCTGAATCTTGGGGTTATTTGGTCTTCTTAATTAGCTCAGATTTGTGAACTTCTGAAATTAGTCTCCTGTGTGATACAGTGTGAAAACTTTCTTAAAGTTACTCAACCCTCTCCCTAACCACCTAAGTAGTTTCAAAATAGCGGGTAGCAGTATCTGTGCCATACCTGATACTTTGTATGCTAATATCGAAGTACAGACAGTTAATTTAACTTCTGAAGCAATTTCAGATGGCAAATAAAATCAAGGGACCATCTGTTTCTTGTAAAAGATCACATAAAACTGAGATTCAGTAGACGATTGGTTACTGACAAGTACTACTACAATAAACAGATATCTGTGTGATAGAAAAATGCTACATTGGAGAACTACTCTGACAATTGCCAGTACCAGTACAGACTGGGGGATGAATGGGTTGAGAGCAGCCCTGTGGAGAAGGGATTGAGAGTTCTGGAGGATGAAAAACTGGACTTGAGCCGGCAGTGTGCACTTGCAGCCCAGAAACCACCCATGTCCTGGGGGCATCACCACCAGCGTGAACAGCAGGGCGAGGGAGGGGATTGTCCCCCTCTGCTCCGCTCTGGTGAGATCCCCCCTGCAGTGCTGCCCCCAGCTCTGGGGTCCTCAGCACAGGACAGACACGGAGCTGCTGGAGCGGGGCCAGAGGAGCCACGGAGATGGTCCGAGGCTGGAGCAGCTCCCGTGCGAGGACAGGCTGAGAGAGTTGGGGGTGTGCAGCCTGGAGAAGAAAAGGCTCTGGGGAGACCTTCTTGTGGACTTTCAGTACTTAATGAGGGTTTATAAAAAGGATGGAGAGAGACTTCTCACCATGGCTGGTACTGATAGGACAAGGGGTAACGGTTTTAAACTGACGGAGGGTGGATGTAGATTAGATGTGAGGAGGTTTTCCTATGAGGTTGGTGAGACACTGGAACAGGTTGCCCAGAGAAGCTGTGGATGCCCCATCCCTGGAGGGGTTCAAGGCCAGGCTGGATGAGGCTTTGAGTAACCTGGGCTGGTGGGAGGTGTCCCTGCCCATGGCAGGGGGTGGCACTGGATGGGCTTTAAGGTCCCTTCCAGCCCAAACCATTCCATGATTTAACAAGAGACATGAATGAAGTTACCTGTTCAGTGTTTTATTTCAGGGATAAAATGAAGCAGTGTGGGAGGAGGTGGAAGAGGAGTTTGAATTTTTTTTTATGTAGTTGTAATGTAGAGGATGATAATATATTTGCAAGTTTTGGAAATTAAAGCATTCTTTTTAGTTAGATACATCATATTACCTCTTGGGTACAACATTGTAGCATGGATCCTTAATGTTCATTCTTATCCATTTGTGTTTTCTGTATCAGCTTTTGGGGGAAAAACTTATTTAATTTCATAGGGATTTTTTGATTTGCACTGGTTTGAAATGCTGTGTTTATATAATATTGTGATTTGCTAAGAAGTTATATATGTGTGTGTTGGCATGAGTTCTGTCAGATATCAATGATTTCGGTTTTTTGGGTGGTTTCTGTAATGCGATTTGCAAACTGCTGTATTAACTCTAGGGTTTTTCACTGGGTAGGCCTGTGCATGATTTATACAGTACTACTGTTTAACCATATCCTGAGACAAACTAGAAGACAAAAGAATTGTGGTTATTTTTACCTTTTCAGCACTTGACGAATATTTGATTAAGGTAGAAAGCAGCAACTTTGATTTTTGTAGCTAAAAACTGTTTACTAAAACTATACTTTGTTTATGTGTGCTACAGGTTCTGTGCATTATGTGAACGCCAAAGGAAAGACAAGGCATGTATTGTCCACAGACAGTCTGGTCCAAAAGCTGGTTTTCATGGAGGAAAGAGGTGTTTTAGTTGTTATAACAGAGAACCTGCAGTTGTCCTTGCATGCAATTACTCTTGAGGGAGAGGCAGAAGAGCTCATGAAGGTAAGAGCTGGACTCCAGGGTAAAGTTGCAAAGTTTAATCTTTATGAGTATTTGTTAGGGTTTTTTGATTATCACTTTTTTGCTTGCAAATGAATCAACTCTTATTTTTGTTTCTCAGATAATACCTTGATGAGTAAATATATGCTTATTTAAAAGTAGAAGAGTGATGCGTTATTGAACTTGGAAAGATGGTTTTCGTCTTGCCTTCCTGGTTTTTCTCAATTTCTTTCATTTTGACCCTATGTTAATCTTTTTACCTTGTCTTAGTGAATTAGAGAAGAACTGAAAATTTCAGTATAACCAAATACTTGTTAAAATGTCTTGTGGATAAATAGTTGATAATCTGCATCCTCGGTTTTGTCATCAGGCGCTCAGAGGTGTCTTGTGTTCCAGATTAGTAGCAGTAGTACCTCCTCTTGGTGATACTGTCTTTGTCTGCAAATCTGAAAGATACCTTGGTTCTCACATTGTGGAAGTGTTCTTCACAACTGCAAAGGCTAGGAATCTTTTAAAAAATAATTTACAAGTCACAGAGTCACAAATAATAATGTAGTGACCCAAAAGTTATTATACAGGGGCAAAACCCAAGCTGACCTCAGACAGGACTTATAATCACCTTGTCTCAAATAAAATACTGTACTGTTGGAGAATACTTCTGGGGGTATAGAACCTAAACCTTTACCTTCATGAGATTTTTTTTCTTTTTATCTAAGGTTGAAAAAGACTAGGCACTTGTGTATTATAGGAGTGTCCACTTCTTATTTTACTTATTTTTGACTAGAAGTAAGATTTGGTATTTCACATTTTAAAGCAATCTTTATCAAGTTCTAAGAGAAGATCTAGTGCAAGAGAAAAACCGCTCCTTATCTACTTAATTAACCCACTGCAAGGTTTCTTTTAGTAAATATATACATCATATACTTGATGCATTTAGTGGTGGTCACTGCCTGAGAGAAACCATTGGTCTCTCTGAACTGACAGACAGGTCTAGTTATTATTATATTTTAACTCTTTAGCCAGACTCGGCAATTCAGATGCTTACTGTCTTTCAGTGTGTTCTTCCTGCCTTCTGTAAATGTATTTATTTATTTATGGTTAACAGGTGAAGTTGAGTGGGAAGACAGGTCATTATGCAGACATCATTTTAATAGACCATAGCCTTGTTGTTACAGCACTAGGTGAGACCGTCATCAGGTAAGAATCCTGTTTTACAGCTGTTCTGGCTGCCCATGAGAAGTGCCGGCTAAAAGGTTTATGGTCTGCAATGCACTGAATATTTTACTGAATTTTTTTTTTTTTTTTGTGGTTGTTTGTTTTGTTTTTTACCAGTAATGAAAAAGCTCACAATATTTTCCAATTTTGTTTCTCAAAATAAATAGAGAAATGAAATTAAAAATCTGTTTCCTTGAGGACAAAAACTAATTCTATTAATCTTTCTTTCTCTCTAGTTATTTTATTTGGTCAGGCAGTACTATCCAAATCTGTTCCTTTCTTGAGTGCTATTATTAATTTCTTCTGAAAATATATCCATTTTGGGTTTTTTGCGTGAAAGATACCCACTTTGCTGTTCTTCCCACTGTTATTGCCTGATTCTTAGGATAGTAATAGCATCAGTAACAGGAAAAAAGTGCTTGCTTTTCAGGATGCTTCTCTGTTACTGTAATACAAGTACTTCAGTTACCTCTATCCCTAATTCTTTAAACTGAGTATGTTCCTTTGCCATGTTACCATGTTCTGTGGTTTTTATACTTTTGCATCTTTTAAAAAAAAGTATTAAATCTCTTTTTTTCCCTGTCTTTGCTATGACTTGCTCTACCTGTTTCCTCTTTTTTGCCAGGGAGGGTGTTCTATTGACATCAGTACTTCACTTTCTTGAGCCTCTGTCTGCAATTATCAGACAAAAATTGTCTTAGTTTTGTGAGAATGTGATAAAGACAAAGTATCAAGAAGGAGTATGTTTGATTACAGTGTTTAGTTCTAGAAAATAAAACTTGAATCCAAAGGACTACTGGGTAACCAATGAATATTCTTAAAATCGAGGAGGAAGCATAAGTAGGGAGGAGGAAAATTGCAACTAGAACTCGCTATTTTTCTTTTTTTCTTAAAGACGGGTTTGATACTGACTCTTTTCTTCATAGGAGAATATAGCAAAACACACTGCAGATTAAAAAGTCAAAGGAAAAGGAAGGAGATTGTTAAGAAGTTCACATTCCAGAGGCAGCTGCTGGCAATTTAATTTTAAAAATTGAATGATCTGGGCATTATGGAAACAGTAAATTAGTGCCATGTACAGCATCCTATTGACTGTGTTTAGCAAGACACCTGGAAGGAAAAGCATTGTTAACACTCTTGTTTTGTGTACCTTAGGTTCTGGGATTTGGACCGAGACGAGAACTATGTGCTCTCCCCAGATGTGCAATTTGGCTTTGAGGGAGGAGAATGTATTAACTGTGTTTCTTACTGCAGTGCTAAAGGTGAGAAATAACACAGCAGCTGTGATCTCTGGATCCTAAATCTTGTCAAACCTCAGCCTTCAGTGCCCTGTAGTCATTTCAGTATGTTTGTCTTGATACTGAGGGTTTCAGTAACGTCATGGGATGTGGAAAAGTTTTAGTTCAGATCAGGAGCATGCTCTTGAAGGTACAATGAAATTACTTGGTGCTCATCGCACTTTCTCTCAGTGTGGAGTGGTCTCCAGCACACCAGCTGGATTCCCTTTGACACTGAACTGGTACAAATACTCCTGGAGTACACCTGATGTGCACCAGCATGTTATGGGCGTTCAGTCTACAAGCCCACACTAGAGCTAATGCAAAGTAGAACTCTCCAAACACATATAGTGTGGACGTCAGGTCCTTAAAATGGTCGTTTTGTACAGAGCTCCTCCTGTGCATCACCAGTGTAGGCACAGGTAGTGTCTGCGAGAATGGTTTTCAGTGTTGACTTGCCCATGGTGACTACAAAACCAGCTATTCAAAAACGAATGGTTAAAATGAAGTAATTTAAAAGATCACTTAATCTGGTAGCTTAGAAAATGGGCCTTGCCATGTGAAACTTCTCCCATTGTTTCTCTGGAAAGTTCCTTCAGTTCAGGATGAGGATGCTGCTTTGCGAGAGGGCAAAGAAATGGGTGCTGCTAGAAGGAGGCTTCTCAGTGCCTTGGAGCCAGAGCTGGGCTGCCTGCTACTTTGTATGATGTGAGTTTTTCTGAAGTTGTTTAAGATATGAAATGCCTAAAATGTTTGTGAATGGCAGGTCTCTTAGCAGCTGGTACGAACAAGGGGAGAATAGCTGTGTGGAGGAAAGCAGCAGGATCTGAGCAGAGCACACGGGCTTTGGAGGGCAAAGAGAAGTGGAAGCTCCAGGCACCTACAGAACTTGAAGGAAATGTCACTCAGATAAAGGTAAGACAGGAAAGAGTCTTCTTGCCTGTTAGTATGACTTCACAAACGTTAGATGAACAGATCATCTTTGTGAAACAGGGAATATGATTGCTATCATACAGATATCTACACACCAATAGAGGCTGGTCCTCCTTCAGAAGAAGGAGGAAAAACCATCAAGATCAAGTAACTTTTAAAATTGAAATGTGCCCACTGAAATGGGCTACCTGCTTGTAGCTGTCCTGTTACAGACGGGGTTGAAATGCTCAGCAAGATAACACATTTAAATGCAAATATATCTCTCTGGGAGATCTAGCAGTCATGGCATCCTTCAATCAAAAATTCTCTCTATTATATGTCTCATTGACAAACCCTTTGGATTCAGCACCCTGAAATTATTTGCTGGAAAAGAGAGATTGTCAGAAATGTCAGATTTTGTGTAAATGTATTAAAAGAGCAAGCAAGAAAACCTGCCTAATTGCATGATTTTATTTGTAGATAATTTTATTCTTTTTAGTCACTTTCTCAACATATAATCTGCTCTTACTTGTTCTTGCAAAAATAAAAAGATGTCTTTACAACCAAATATTCTTTAGCGAGAAGATGTGCCATCTAGAAGGGAATACTGTATTTTTACATTCAAAATGATGTTTTCAGCTGCTTTTTTGTCAGCAAATGTTTCTTGTTTTCTAGATAATTTTTTTATGTGTGACAGTGTCAGACTCTATATGGATGATAAGTTTTCTCTCACAGACTTGCGAAACGAGTGCTTTAAAACATTACTACTATTTACACTATTTTTAGAGCTGAAGATTATGGCAATACATAGTGTAATATTGATTTTTTTAATCCGTTGTCTCTTAAGGGTCAGGGTGCAGCATCTTTATTTATTTGAAATGTTTTCATTTGCCACAGTAAGTTTAAACACTGTCATTCTACACTTATTAGCATTTTGATATATGCAAAAGAAAATGCTGAGCATTACAATCATAAATTTAAATTATAAAACCTTTACATTGACAGTTAGCTTCTTTGACCACCACCATTCTACTAAAAGGCAAAGCTTGTGCTTTTACGTTCTCTAGAATTTATTGTTTTGTTTGTTTGTTATACCCTATTATTAAGTTTTTTCCAGATTTTTTACAGTTTCTCTTATAATTTAGATTATTCTGTTGCTGTGCTTAATATGTGAGATCAATACCCATTATTTTCTGGAAGGAATGGAAACCAAAAATACCTGGTGCCTTTCAAGAGAAAGTAATTTTATGTTTTGTTTTATTCTGTTTTCACAAAAGTATGGAAAGTATTTAAAAAGCAGTGGCATTTGCTTGGTCTGGGTTGTATATAGCACGGGTTTGTGTCAGAGTCCTACTTACAAAATTAAAACATAAGTACTATTAAAGCCGAGGACCCAAATCTTTTGTTAAGATGCTTTAGTAACAAAAGGTCCAGGATACAGGAAATAGTGTGTGCCATTAGTATATCATACATCTGCTAATAAGTTGAGGGAAGGGAAGAGATATAGGTGTTTGTCAGCCTGACCATTCAAGCATTTTCCAGATAACAGGAGTGCTGTCCAGAAATAGCACCTTGTTCACAATGTTTGTTAGCATAAACAAAGGCATTGCCAAACAATTGTCAACAATCACTGACGCTTTGTCTCATGTTATAAAGCTGTCTTGAATTATGGAAACTCTAGATTATTTTTTGTTGCAATCGTTGCATTCTACAAAATATTTAGTAAAAGATTGTTATGTGTGGAATCTTCTGTTCATTCCTAGAAAAGCTTTTTCCTATATATTACCGTCAAAAACTCGGAATAGAAAGCCATATACCATAGTGAGGTCAAAGGGCAGCAATAAGTTAATTTGACTCCTTGCCAACCTCATATTTTTTCAACCTGCTATGGTGGCTTCAAAAGAGAGGTGGTTGGGAAAAGCACTCTTGCGCACCTGTTGTACAGCATAGTACCTGGTTAATTGTAACTGAGCGCCATTAGAGAGAAAACCCCAAACAAACCGTGCAAAATAGCTTTATTTCTTAGATCATGCACTTGAATAAAATGAAATAATTTTCAAACACAACTATTTAAATCAGTGTTGTTGGAAAAGTACAGCCACAGATATATCAGCATGTTGGGAAATTAATATGAAACTTCAAATAACTTTGAGGGGAATAGAGACTTTAGAGACTTAGAATCATAGAATCACAGAATGGTTTGGGTTGGAAGGGACCTTGAAAATAATCCAGTTCCACACCCTGCCACGGGCAGGGACACCTCCCACCAGCCCAGGTTGCCCAAAACCTCATCCAGCCTGGCCTTGAACCCCTCCAGGGATGGGGCATCCACAGCTTCTCTGGGCACCCTGGGCCACTGCCTCACCCCCCGCACAGGAAGACATTTCTTCCTCACATCTCATCTCAGTCTCCCGTCTTTCATCCTAGAACCGTTCCCCCTCGTCCTGTCCCTGCACCCCCTGATCCAGAGCCCCCCCATCTCTCCTGTAGCCCCCTTTCAGCACTGGGAGGTGCTGGAAGGTCTCCCCGGAGCCTTCTCTTCTCCAGGCTGCACACCCCCAACTCTCTCAGCCTGTCCTCG